GTGGGAGCGCGCCCATCGGCGCGCGGGGTAGTTGGTATTCATTCCACAAGCTAACTACTGACTACTGACTACAGGAGAGACAGACTTACCGCGACATGATGACGGGCAGGAGCAAAAAGGGAAGGGTGGCTGTGCCAGTTGTGCCGCCATGTTTCTGATGACCAGGCTCGGAACCCGGGACGAGTCCCGAGTTTGGTCATGCCAAACATCACGCGCCGAGTGCACAGCCACCGCTAGCCTCTTGATCCTGACCACCATGTCAGGATGAGGTAGTGCGGCGGGCGCAGGGAAGGCGGGGGCGGTGGGTCGCGTACAGGAGGGTAGAAATAGGGTACGAATACGTGTAATGGCGAAATATGAGGAGTACAACGAGCGATTTGGGACGTGGGGAACGGTGGAGACAAAAAACAGGTAAATCGCTGCATGAAGGAATACACGGACGTTAGGAGACAGTGGCAGGCGGGCATTCGAAACGAAACGAACCTCATACGAAAGGAGAGTTTGGATGAGGAATGTTGGGTCGGAAGAGGGCGATCCGCGACGTGGAGAGGGACGGGCCAAGATACGAGAAAATTGAAATAAAAGTGCGTCAGGGCTCAGTTGACGGCGATTATAGACGAGACTCACCACGACAGTGCAGAAAGCCATGCCGCTGGAGATGTGAAGCAGGATGATAGAAGGAACTGAAGCTCGTGAGTAAATAAATAAATAATGCGCGAAGACATGAAACGCCACCAACGCTGAATAAGAAAGAATAATCTAAACAGGGACGCCGCCGTTATTGGTGAGCACCCGCGCAACTTGAGGACTGATGGGCACCTAAGGGACGACTAGGTTTGGCGAGTTGCTGCAGAAGGGCGCGGAATAGTTGGACGAACTGAACAGGAACGGTGAGTAGCGAGCTTTAATCAAGAAGAAATTGATGTCAAATTGACACTAGAAGGAAATATTAGCGATGGGATGGGCAAGGCAGGGAGGCGACACACAATTAGAGAGGCAAGATGCGATAGGAGAGCATAAAGGTAACTGGGTAAATGTTGGTGCATATAGGATGATTGACTGACGCAAAAGAAGAGAACGACGACCGGCAGAAACGCCGGTGGCAGCGGGGATGAGGGAAGACGACGATGGCCCACCATTAGCAGGGCGACCGTACTTATAGCTCGTCGGCACTCACATTGTCCACCGCAGGATTACCCGATCAAGCGACCAAAGCGTCCGTTCTACCCAATTCAGACGCGGGTGGCCATCGGCACGCCGACTCGCGGTGCCACCCATGGACTATGGTGCGGATTTTGTCTTTTGCAAGTCCATAGCTGACTCTTTTCGCATTTTCCAGTCCTTTTCCCGCCCCAACAACGGTTGAGCCGACCAGCTCCCTTTTTTTCACCTACCTATCCAGCGCCAAACCTCTATATCTCCTGGCTTCAATGACCAGCCCACGTCAAACTCGAGCCGGCGCCGCCAAGGTCGCCGCTGCTACAGCTGCGGCGGCGGCCCCACCGGTTAACACGCGGTCTCGTAAGGCAAAAAATGTACGTCGAGCGTACGCAGAATATGGAAATAACGCTAACTGTACATGACTCCAGGACGCGTCGAAACCCAGTAACGCAAGTAATCCAACCGCAAGCAAGACCAAGAAACATAAAGCCAAAAAACCTGAAGAAGCGTCAGAACGCCCGGTATCCCCAGCGCCATTGCTGGCGCCCGCACCCCCGAAGCCCGCTTCCATCGCCGCACCGCCTGCGTCAAAGCCGAAAGAGAAGTCGAAAGAGGCGGCAGCCGCGCCTTCTTCGCAGGAAAGTTTTAGCTCTTCGCGTTCCTTAGGCATTATTTGCTAACACATTTTTTTTACAGATTGTAGGTCCATTGCGGAATGAGGTACGTAGCGCATTCGTTCCAGTAGCGGCTATCCACTGACGCTGCTCGCAGGAAATCGCCGCCAACATGACGGCGTCGGAGCGGTGGCTCAAGGGCGTGAGCGGTCTCCGTCTTGTCGAAGGTCTCCGTTTGTCGACAGGCGAAGGGGCAGCACCGACGACGACGACGACGACATGGACTTAATCCCCCCCGGCGGTGTCTGGGGCTCGCTGCGTCCCGGGCGCAAGGCACAGGCATCCGATGACGAGAACGACGACTCCGGGAAGCCGGAGGACGACCGTAGCGAGCAATCAGAGGACGACGACGAGAACGACGCCTCCGGGAAGCCGGCGGACGCCGCTGACCGGCTATCGGACGACAGCCAGTCCAACTACAGCACCACCGATGCCGCCGAGCGCAAGGAAGCCGACCGTGTCAACCACCTGACGCGGAGCTTGCGCTCGGTGCCTGAGACGAGGCCAATCGAGGAGCAGGACGATGCGGACAGGCTGGTGTTCGAGGCTGAAGCGGAGGACGAGTTGGCACGGAAGGGAAAGGGAAAGGGAAAGGCGAAAAGGAAAGAGCAGGGACACGGAGAGGGCGACGAGGGGGCGGAGGGCCAGGGGGGTACATCCAAGGAAAAGAAGAAGAGGAGGAGGAGTAAGCAGGACGACGGCAACCCGGACGAGCGCGCGGGAGACGCAGGAGACGACGACCCTCTCGTGCAGGAGGAGGATCCAAGCGACCAGCCGCCTTGGGAGCTGACGTCAGGCCCCATGTCGAAGAAAGACCTCGAGGAGGCGCTTGCTGCTCGCCGCCAGTACCACGCGATGATCGAGACGGTGGCGCGTCGCTCGGGAAAGAGGATGGGCGCGGTGTTCAAGGCTGTGGGCGACGGTGCGACGTCGATGCGGCACACTAACCCGTGGAACGCCTTCCAGACGAAGTACCGCGCTGAAAACCCGAAAGACAAAGATGGTGGGTCTCTTTTTCCCTTCGTGCATGGTACGGGGCTGACACCACCAATTTTCAGAAACGTCCGACGAGTACAAAAACAAGATGAAGGCTGCGTACGCCGACCTCTTCGCGGATCTCCCCGAGGAGGATCGCCGCAATCCTGACGCACGGCGGAAATGCGTCGATGAGGTCATGGAGTGGTACCACGAGAAGACCATGTTGTTGCTGGACGATAGGAAGGCGCAGGGAAACGGGCACGCCCTCATGAGCAAGATCGTGAAGCCGTTCATACACCAAGTGAGTTTCAGTGCCTGTCCGTTACGTTTCAGCGCCTAACTGACTCCCAGAGCACGGTGGCAGGCAGCACCTACGACGTCGAGGTCTTCGGCTTCGGCATCGATCCCTTCAGCGACGTCGCCATCATCTGGGGTGGCACGCCCAATTTCCAAGCTGTCTATCAAGACTTCGAGCAGCCGATCAAGGCCAAGCTCACCGAGCTGAAGGCAATGTTTCAGTAAGTTCGCCGAACTACCTTGCGATGCTAGATTTAACATCGCGTGCAGAGTGACCAATATGAAACGCCGCGATGGCCAGGTGATGAATCACCGCCGCCTGCAAATCGACTTCAGCAAGAAATCGACAGAAGCCAACATGCGCGACTCAAAACGGCGGATCATCAAAGATTGTCTGTATAATGACATCCGTGCGTCGCTCGTTTGCTTGAAATTTGCAATGCCACTGACTTTGTTTTGCTTCTGTCGTAGTTAATGCACTTGCGGAACGCGCGGAGCTCGATCCCGACCAGGCCTGCACCCCACCCTCGAAAATGTCCTGGAAGTGGTCAGACCTTGCGCTCAAGTACACACTGCGGCTCGAGGGATGGCCAGCCGCTCTCAAGAACGCCTTCCCCTCAGCTGGCTTCACCCTGAACCAGATCAAGGGAAAGGCGCCGATCGAGGCGTTGACGGAGATGGCCTTGCAGATGGAGAAGAGATACTTGAGCGCCGACAACACGGGGGACGGCCCTATTATTGTCTCGTGGACCGATGGTGCGTGCTTATATTTTACCTTGTTGCCGCTGTCTAACACCAATTTCTGCAGACGAACGCGACTGTGAGGCGACCGAGCACTTGACGGACATCCCTATCGTTGTGGCCGATGACGACACCGTTTTACTACGCGCGAATTCGTCCAAATCCCTCATGCGCACCATCGACGAGGAGAACCAGAAGCAGGCGAAGCAGACGGCCTCGAAGAAACGCAAGGCAACTTCGGCGCCGGAGGAGAGGTCATCGAAAAAGTCGAAACGGGGCGCTGAGATGCCGCCGTCACCCGCACGCACGCCAACCCCGGTAGCCGGCGCCGGCGTGGCGACGACCTCGGCGGTCCCGGCGCGCTACTCGTGGCGTTATGTGTCCTCAGCAGAGCCTCCCGAAGTGTCAGAAACTTGGGTGGCACTGGGTGTACAGCGCTATGAGGGACCGCCAACGAAGGCCCACAACGCCGTCGAGTGCTGGCAAGGATCCGCGTGGCGGGGCCTCCCCGCTGGTTTCGAGATGATTGAGGATCCGGACTTCGCGGCTGAGTCCGCTCTTGTGCGGAGTTGGTTTGATTTAGACGAAGACGAAGACTAAGTAGCCACTCGGCCAATTTTATATTTCTCTATCCATGTATGCTTTCCTCTTCATTATCGCTTCTACAGCTCCTGTATTTACTTGTTCTTGCGTCGATAATGGAATTTATTTCCTTTTTGGGACTGGGGCGGTTGTTTGTTTGGCAGCCTCGGCATGTCGGCATGGGCGAAAAAAGAAATCGTCAAGTCCAGAAAAGTCGGTAAGCAAAATATCTTGGTATGTACAAGGAATTGGGTGGGTCTTGTAATTAAAGAAACATAACCTAGTCGTCAGCCCTTTTTTCAGTTCAACGAAATGGCCTTTTTGGGATTCGAACCCACGCGAAGAAGACGGTTCTTCTATAAACGAATTTATTTCCTTTTTTGGACACAGGCGGTTGTTTGTTTGGCGACTTCGGCATCTCGGCATCGGGCGAAAAAAAAATCGCCGAGTCCAAAAAGGCGGTAAGGTAAGGAAAATATCGTTGTACAGGCAATTGGGCGGGTTTTGTAATTAAAAAACACGACCTAGTCGTTAGCGCTTTTTGAAAAAAAAAAAAACTTCCCAACTCAACCTTATTGGGATTCGAACCCACGCGAACGAAACGGTGCCAGCCTGGAAAAAATTGGGACTCTAACCGCTGAGCTATACAGTCTGTATTATGTATCTACTTGTTCTTGCGTCGATAAACGAATTTATTTCCTTTTTTGGACATGGGCAGGTTGTTTGTTTGGCGACTTCGGCATCTCGGCATCGGGTGAAAAAAAAAAAAATCGCCAAGTCCAAAAAAGCGGTAAGGAAAATATCTTTGTACAGGCAATTGGGCGGTTTGTAATTAAAAACACGAGAAAAAACTCCCTGATTCAAGGAATGGCCTTATTGGGATTCGAACCCACGCGAACGAGACGGGCGAAACCTGAAAAAACAGCAGTCTGACCGCTGAGCCATACAACAAGGGGTGTATGCCTATTGAGTTGGTTACACTATGGTAATTTCACTACTTCATCTTTAATTGCAGTGACCAAATAAACATCTGCTATTGCCTCAATAAGGCAATAGTAGCTTCTCCAAAAAAATACAAGTCTGTCAGAATAACATTAACCAAAAAACATAAGTCTTTTGGGATAATGGATGCGCCCATCCTTTGTTTGGCACTAGATGGATGCGCCCACAGAGCCATGGATGCATCCAGGGCTGAACCAAATGAACCGCTGGGTGCATCCACATCTGGGGGTGATCGGTGGATGCATCCAGCGGGAACCAAACAAAAGGGCATGGATGCAACCATGTGCGGTGGATGAATCCACCGTCTAAATAATGCAGCAGTGGTTGCATCCCCAGTGTGGATGTACCCAGGATGTGGACCAG